ATTCAGTAGCCAAACTCTGGGATTTGAACTTGGCTCTTTCTCTGGCCACCTGGGTGACCTTGGGAGAGTTATTTAACTAGTCTGTTGCTCTGTTTCCCCTGTAAAATTAGGCTGATAATAGTATCCACCTCACATGGTTGTTGTGAAGATTAAATGAGTTAGCATTTGCAGCTGTGTCTGGTGTGTAGCAAGCACTCAACAAATACAAACAATTTCTGCGATCTCACTTGGACCTCATTGTGGTATATATAATAGAAGAACTTTGTAAACCACAATATTTTATTAACACAGGAAATGCTCTAAGGCAGTACAATGCCTTGGTGCCCTCTCTCCTCCAGCTTTCTTAATGGTTGAGCCTCTTTCCGCCGCTTCTTTAATGTGGACATACTCCAAAGCTCCTTCCTTGATCCTCTGTCCTCATGATTGTTTAAGGACTTATCCTTCTCGGTGGTTTTAATTATGACATCAAGGTCAGTAACTTCAAGTATAGGTCTACAACTCTAAAGTCTATCCCTTAAACTTCAGTTTCCATCTCCAACTTCCTGCTGAGCATCTTGTTACCACTCATTCAAATTCAACACGTGTAACACCAAAATCACCGTTTTGTTTTCACAAAGAGGTTGCCTCAGGATCTTGCTCCTCATTGATACACTCATATGCTAAGTAAATGTAGCCTAGTCTTGCCAAATATTCCCAGGCGTGTATAAGAGAGCTTAAGAAAGAATCATGAGGGTATTATTGAAATACTTCTCTTGTTTCCCTAAGGCTTCCCAGTACACTCTGAAAGGTCCATGCAGGAGGGGTGTACTGGGGGAGAGAGTTCCAAGTACCTAGGAATGAAGCTGTTTCATTAAAACATGAACACTCTTGCCCTGGCCAGTGGCTCAATGGTTAGAGCATCAGCCCATGCACCAAAGGATCACGGGTTAGATTCCCAGTCAAGAGCACATACCTAGGGTGCAGGTTCAATCCCTGGCCCCAGTCGGTGACGTGCAGGAGGCAACCAATTGATGTGTCTCTTTCACATTGATGTTTTTCATTGATGTTTCTCTCTCTCTCTCTTTCGCTCTCTCCTGCCCCCCTCCCCACTGCCTCCCTTCTACTCTCTCTAAAAACCAATGGGAAAAACTATCCTCAGGTGAGGATTAACAACAACAATAAAAATGAACCTCCTCATCCCAGGTTCACCAGCACTTGAACCTAAGCCTTCCTCCATCATGTACCACACTTTTGATAATAATTTCCATATTTTTTTCGGCATCCTCGCCCCATACCCAGCATGATGTCGTGCCAGGGCAGACTGCTGGACTGGTAGAGGAATCAGCAGCTTACCTGGGCACCTGGAGCACATTCCATCTCTGTACCTCAGAGCTTTAATCAAGAGAAGAACTTAATCTACTAGTAAGTGGCTCAGAGCCCTGTGGCTCATAGAGACTGTGGCACCTTCCATATCCCCTACAGCAAAATCTACTATTTTTGCAAGCAGTCTAATAAATGTCACGTGGACTTAGAGAGCAGGCATGAAGGAAGTTCTGTCAAAGCGTCCTGCCTGTGCTAATTGTTAGGGCTGCTCATAGATATTCCATTTTCTCCTCCTTCAAGCATATGTGGGATGGTACCTCCCTGCTGCACTTGAAGTTAAGTGTGACATGCACCTTGCTTTGGCCAATGATATGAGAGCAGAAGCTTTAAAAACTCGTGCCTGATGCACTTGCCCTTTCCCTGTCTCAGTGGAAGCATGAGTTAAGATGCCGGTTCTACCAGCCTGGATCCCACATACTTCATTACATATGGAGCAGAGCAAGAGACAAACTTTTGTTTGTGGAATCGATAGGATTTGGGGGTTCTTTGTTACTGCAGCATAAGCTTGTTACTCCTGACAGATACAATGGCCCTATTCATTCGACAAGATGACAATCTCCCATTTCTGACCTAGCCTCACCTCTGACTTTTAGATTTCCACTCTGTTCAGTTCAGTCTCAGGGTTCCTTGGTGCACTTAAGCTACCCAAATCTTGGTTTATGGTTAAGACCTGCTGCTGTATAGCCCACAGAGACTCAGCAAACCCTGGACTCTAGTGCTGCCCAAACCCAATACGCTAGGCATGGAAACAGGCACAATTTCCCCCAATTGCAGCACCTAGTCTTCCTATTAAAGTTTCCCATTCTAGCTAAGTTGACCATATAAATTTATTGCCAAAGTGTTTTTGAGAGTGAAAGGGGAGTGGGATGACAGGCTTAGTCAGCACTGTTCTAGGGAAATAGGGATGCTTCAGTACCCGAATTCTACTCTGTCATCTTCACAATAGAGGTCTGGGGCTGTGAGAAAAATTCCTACAGGCCTTATCTGAGGATAGATCACCATTCCCAGGAAATGCGATTAAAGGCCTAAGAAAAAGCATGTGGTGAAATTAATGTGTTTATCAGAGAGTGGACTCTGCTTTTACTATTACATGTGGCCTCGGACCACATGGGTGCAGCTGTTTCCCTAAGTAGGCACATGCAAATAGCAGTAGACATCCAAACAAAACCAAGAGCCCATGCAAAATCCAGCCATAAAGTATGAACACCCTGCAGAAACATTAACAGCATCTTCCTTCCACGGGTCAGCCTGGGAGTCATTTCAGAGGAAGAAGGACAAAATCAAGAAAACAATCTTAGCAGCAAAAGTAACCATTTAAACCAGTGGCTCTCAACCTTGGCTGCACATTAGAATCACCTGGGAATCTTTTAAAAATCCTGATTTCTGGGCCTCATCCTTCGGAAATTCTGTTTCTTTGTTATGGGGTGGGGCCACAACATTAGGAACAAAGAAACAGAATTTCCGGAGGATGAGGCCCGGAAATCAGGATTTTAAAAAGATTCCCAGGTGATTCTAAGGTGCAGCCAAGGTTGAGAACCACTGATTTAAACAAAGCCACTGTTGATGCAACTTCTGTAGCCACAGGCCCCTCCTCTACTAGGCATGTGAAACATTAAATGTCAGTACATATTTTTAAAGAATGCTGACTTCTCTAGTTAAAGTAACACATTGTAGAAGACAGCTGATTTCTCTAATCTGCTGCTATTCTGCATTTTTCTTTACTTTATGAATCATCAGGATTCTAATTGGCTCATTCAAAATTTCAGTGGTCAGGAAGTACAGAAGATTCTGTTTTTCAGTCTGTCCCAATCCCCACTTCCCCAGAGCTCCACATTAGGCGATACGGGTCCCCAACCACGGGGTTGTCACATGACCTGAGTTAGGCCAAGTACTCCCAAGCCCCAACTCAGGTCCAGAGATGGGAATATGAGCCAAACAAGATCACAGCATGTTTTTTCTGGGATTGAAACCATCTCTGGGTATCTTAGATTTCTAAGCTGCCATACCATATTACCACAAACCGGGTGGTTTACAACAATAGGAATTTATTCTTTACAGTTCTGGAGGTTAGAAATTCTAAAGCAAGGCAGTGGCAGGGCCACGTGGGTAAGAATCTTTCCATGACTCCTCCCGGTTTCTGATGGTGCCAGCAGTCCTGGCTTGTAGCCATATCACTCTAACCTCTGCCTGGGTTGTCACATGGTCACATCTCCCCTCTGTCTGTGCCTGCGGCTTCACAGGTGTGCTCCTTTCTATGTGTGTCTCTATTCTCTTGTCTTTTTACAAGGATGCCCATCGTACTGGATTAAGGGCCCACGCTACTTCAGTAGGCCCTCCTTTATACTTACATCTTAATTACATCTCAGACCCTATTTCCAAAAGAGAGCACAGTCACCGGTACCAGGGACAGGACTTCCATATATCTTTAGGGGGGACGCAAATGAACCCATAACACTAAGTGAGAAAGAGCTTCTCCCACTGACTGCCATGTAAGCCTGCCCCCCCACCTGAGAAGTAAACAGAACCAAGAGATGGAGGAAGGGCCCTATGTTATTCAATTCCTGGAATGCATCTATGTCCCAAGCCCAGTCCACTTCTTGGATTTCCCAATAACATGACAAACAAAATGCCTTTCTTATTTAAATGCATTTAGAATGGATTTCTGACACAATCAAGAGTTCTAATTAATACATCTACCAATGAACAATACTATATAAGGTTATGTCAAATAGTTTTCCATAATCTAGGTGGGGAAGAGAGGGTGGGATATATATGACTGGCATGAGCAATAACTGTTGAAATTAAGTGATGGGTATATAGGAGCTTATTTTATATATATATATATATATATATATATATATATATATATATACACACACACACATATGAAATTTTCTAAAATGAAAAGTTAAATCAAGGGTTAAAAACAAATTTCCCCAAGACTCACACTTAAAGTCCAGCACAACTTTGGAGGCTGCTTTCTTTGTGATGGAAAGAAACAGCTCAAAATTTAACACTTCTCAACCCAAAAGCCACACTAACATCTGGATTTCAACAAAGATAAATGGTTCTGGGACCCAAAGCAGCACTGACAAACTCTACCAAAATCAGATCTTCTGTCATTTTGAAACAGCAGGAACCTTGGTCTATGGACAATGCCTGCCTATCACATTTCATCTTTGGAAACAGCATGCGAGGCTCCTCTCCCCCGACAGGAAAGCCAAACAAATGTTAACCCTGCATTCCTGCAGTTTTCTTAAGCCATCACACCAGCCCCTGCGGCAGAAACCAAGGAAAAGGGGAACTCCATCCTGCTCACTCCTCACAACCTCAGTTTGAACCTCGTGCTCCAACCCATACCCCTCAAGCCCTGTCCTGTCCCACTCACCCTGCCTCCTCAGATTCTGCTTGTTCTATCAATGCCTCACCCATCTGCTGACGGATGGTCCAGGGATCACCTGAGCTAGACTACCTTTGGTGAAGACCTCTGTAGGCTCCCCTCTGCCCAGGGGTCATACTTCCTCCTCTATTGCCACTTTGGTCAGGATGACCAATTCCTCCAGCATCAACCTGAAGGCAACAGGGTTAAAAAAGCAGACAAAAATAATTCCTACAGACAGGGCTGGGTCTATTCTTACCTTCTGCAAATGGTTCCCATTCATAAAAGCGGCCCATGAATGGCTTGTTGTTGTAGGATGCACACTGTACCTCCCGAATACTCCTACTGCTTTCTGGACACACCTAATAAAGCAAATAGTAAATACGCAATTAGTGTCCACATATATCTTTCTGTAGCCCCAGTCAAATCCCGGAAGACTGCTCCAACTTTAAATACCAGTCCTCTTATACCGAAACCAGGACTTGTGAAAATTTGCTGATTTTAACTCCATCAGAAATTTTAAATACAGATTCCAAGGCTCCACTCCAAGTTTACTAAATCAGAATCTTTGTAAGGACACTAGATTTTTAGCAGGCTCCCCAGTTAAGTTTCGGAATCTGAAAACTACTAACCTAAACCTTCTGCTCCTGACAAGTTGGTCTGCTCACTTCCGAGGTCATGCATTTCTGTCTTTGGTCATGCCATTCACGTGCATGGCTTAATATTCCCAGCAAACATGTACAGAGAAAGCCCTTACCATGTGCAGCCACTGCTTTAAACATGTTACACATGTTGACTCATTTAATCCTCACAACAACCAATGAGGTAGATAGGAGAGTTTGCAGACTCCTCACAGATGAACAATCTGAACATGGAGGAGCCACACAGCCAGCGAGGACAGAGACTGGATTTAACTCCAAGCAGTTTGGTCCCCACCAGGCTGCATCTCAGTGTCCTCCCCACCTTGTCTACATTCTGGTCTAAAGTCTCTCCACCACCTAGTGAAGGACCTCGCAGCCGTTAGCATGCAAAAGCATCACCCAGAGATCTCCCGAGAAATGCAAATTCCTACATCCCTCTCCCAAGGCTTATCTTTCAGTAAGACTGGGATGAGATCCAGAATCTGTATTTACCTAATTATCCAGGTGATTCTGATACTCTCAACTAGTCAAAGAAAATATCCAGCTCCCTATGGCTTCTTTCTTATTTGTAAATACTACAAAAGAGCAAAGAGTGACATAAAATAAATAAATGTGAAATAAGATAGTAAGATCAGAATCTCTCATCCAAATCATGAATAAAGTAAGATCAAGCACTTTTTAAAATATATATATATATATATATATATATATATATATATATATATATATTATTGATTTCAGAGAGGAAGGGAGAGGGAGAGAGAGAGATAGAAACATCAACGATGAGAGAGAATCGGCTGCCTCCTGCACAACCCGTACTGGGGACCAAACCCACAACCTGGGCATGTGCCCTTGACTGGAATCAAACCCTTCAGTCTCCTGGCCGATGCTCTATCCACTAAGCCAAACCAGCCAGGGCTGATCAAGCACTTTTAAACCTAGCTACGCTCTGTTTAAGTGTGGAGTGTGTGCGTATGAGTGTGTGTTTTAATAATCAGGAAGGAGAGGAAAGGAATCTGCCCCCTTAAATATTAAAACCCTGTATATAAGAAGTCTTTGGAATAAATTTTATATATCAGAAACACCATGTTTCCTGGAAGATGAGAGAACAGGAAGAAGAATGAAACCAGGTGGGAGGAGAGCATCTCCTGCTCAATAAAGGACAGTCGGGGAAGCTGCTGGTACAACCCTGCAGCAGCCTGAGCCAAACCACATGGAGCAAGAAGCCATGCAAAGTAGAACGTGATGGAGACTGGTGGGAAAAATGAGCTCTGACATCAGTGAGAAGCCGACAGGCCAGAAGGGCTCTGAAAGCCACGCTACTGGCAGCCCAAAAGCCAAACGCCAGGTGTCTCCAGGAAGGATTTCGTGTTGATGCCTTTTACAACCTTTTGGCCAGAACCAGAATTCAACTAGGATGTGATCAAGTTGGGCAACTTGGGAGAAGGCACCATCCTTGCAACCAGAAGCAATCACAAGGCTTTTGCTAAAAATACAGATCCTCAGGGCTCACACCGTGGGAGGGTGGGGAAAAGGGCCTAGGAACAGATGCTGGATTTGCTCTCTCAGGTGACTCTGGTGCAGTCAGCCTGACACCAGACTGTACAGCCACACCCAAACCTCAGTCGCACTCCAAATCCCTTAATATGCAATCACAAAGTGGTAGAGCTGTGAGAATCAATTCCAACCCCTTTGAGGAAACAGGTCTGGAGAAGTGGCATACTTTGCCAAAAGCCCCACAGTGATAAGAGACAGAGCACTGTCACCACCCACCCTGGCTATAAAAAAACAAAATAGAGATCAGCTGCTGGGTGGCAGATTTTCTACGGGAACCAGACCAGAGCAAGTAGGCCAAATGTCCTTTTCCCAAATAACCACGCCTATGTAAAGCCACCTGCCTGCCATGAGGCCCCAAACTACCCTAATTAACCGGCTGGCAGTTACCAGAATTGGAAGCTGCAGACCACAAAACTTAGCCTGTCTGCTTAATCCCTTTCTCTTCATCAGCAAAATAGTGCCAATAGGCCAGATGATGAACCCATGCACTGTCAGAATCATTGTGAACTGCTCAGAATTTGATCATATAAATGTCTATTTTACCTACAACCCATTAAGTGAAAAAAAGTGCTAAAATGATGATGTGGTGTGTGTGTGTGTGTGTGTGTGTATGTGTGTGTGTGTGTGTGTTTGTATAAAGAGAGAGAGAGAAGTTAAAAGTGTTATCTCCAGAAGGTGGGTTATAGACATTTTCTCTTCACAATTAACTTTTGGTTTATTTATACTAATTTTTCTGCAGTAAATATGTAATACTTATGTAATAAAAATATGCCAGAGGTGAGCTCTCCCAAACACATCTGGCCTTTAGCCACTTCATATGTGCTTCTAGTTTATAACCTCACGGTGTGTTTCCATGTCCCACTACTGCCTGGTGTACTGATTACATCCATATGCATCTGCCAAGCCAACCAGTTACAGGTGATAGATGGGTCATTCAGGACCCCCTTTCTCTAGTTATCAACAAGTACTTTATATTTGAGCACGGTCAGAGGCACGAGGACTTAGGTGGCATCCAATCCACAGTAGGGGGTCACCTACAATTGCCAGGAGGCAGCCAAGCCCAGAGGTTGACTATCCAACTAGCAGTTAGCATGGGGAGGTACAGCAAGAAGTAACATGCCCTGGCAGATGGGCATGACACTGTGTGTGACCCTGAGCAGGGACCCACATGATGCCAGGCAAGCTGCCAGTTAGAAGCAGGGCGCCACTTCCTGAGATGGAGAGGGATCTGGTAAGAGAAATGCAAGGCTCACAGGGCCCAGATGTGGAAGTGAGTTACTGAGATGGAATTATGGTGCAGATGAGGAAGCAGAAGCATGGGGTGGTGGTGGTGGTGATGATATTAAGAACAGGTAACTTTTATTGAGTACTTACTAAATGCCAGACACTGCACCATGTGATTTATGTATATTAGTTCATTTAATCCTCATGACAGTTAATATACTCATTTTACAGATAAGGAAACCAAGACAACAGAAAGTTAAATGAGCTGCCCAAGATCATGCATAGGGCTAATAAGGGGTGGAGTCAGTATCTGAACCCAGGCACTCTGTGTCTAGAACACATGCTAGTAACCACTATGCCATGATGGCCCTTGAGACTGTGTGGACAGCAAAGTTAATAAGCAAAGAATTATCAGACAAGAGGGCCTTGAATGCCATCAGGAGAAATCCTAGAGGCTAAGGTCAGAGTCAGCCTCTGAGGTATGGTGAAGTGGCCCCGGTGTCAGTAGCTGGAAGCTGTGGGCTGAGGATGAAAACCAAGCTAGGCTGAGGAAATTGTTTCAGGTCTCTTTTGTAGTTTAGATTTGTTTTTACTTGTTATACTATTATCATTACATGATCTCCTCTCGGTTTACAGACTGTCTAAAATTAACACTTCATTTCACATTAGTTATGGTTTAAGTGGGCTCTTTCCTGATACCATACATAGACCAGGGGTGGGCAACTCCTGGCACGTGTGCCAAACATGGCACGCCAGTAACTTTTGCTGGCATGCGAAACCCTCTCTTATAATCTTCCATTTACAATTTTTTTCTTAATATTGACTTTTTTATTTTTCAGATAAATTCAGTGTAGGTGCATTTTAGATAAATAAATAATTTTACATAACAAGTTATCTTAAAGACCATAGACATGGCTGACTTTGAAATGCAGTTGACTGAATTTCAGAGTAGCTCAATTTGGAAGCAGAAATTTATTGACCTTAGAGTTGACTTGGAAAACATTGGAAAAAAGGCGATTAGAGACAGGAGTACCAGAGAGAAGTGTCGAAAACGAACTATTGAGGACTTGGAATGCCATTCCAGAAAATTTTTTCTGTTTAAAAAACTTTGCAACAGCGCTACTCTCCATGTTTTCATCCACATACGCTTGTGAATCTTTGTTCTCAGTGATGAATTTTGTTAAGTCTCGAAATAGGAGTAGCCTGACGGATGAAAGTAGTAGCTCATGCATATCTCTGAAGGTCATGAAATATAAACCTGATGTAAAATCTCTGTCATCAGTGATGCAACAGCAAAAGTCCCACTGATACTATCAAACAGAGTCATAAAGTTCTGTCGGACTATCAGTGTACATGTATACATTAAAAAATAAATGTATTTTTCATCATCATATACTGTGTTTTTGTCGCTTGAATGAATTTTATTACTTCTTCAAGGTTCTTCACATATGTACACCTTAAGAGATATCAAGTAGGAATAACATGTTCTCAAAACATTAGGGTTGGCACGCAGAAGAATTTTGAGTCAGAGATTTTGCTGGTTTTGGCACGCACTCACAAAAAGGTTGCCCACCACTGCCATAGACTGAGTCACCCTCACCTTATCAGTAATTTTGTTTTACACTGTGAGCTAGCTTTGGGCAGATTTTCTGCAGACAGCAGATCCCTTATGGACACAGATTCTTGGAATTTCAGGCCAGAAAACTGTGACAGGGAAAAAGTCATGTTGATAGAGATCAGGCTCACTCAGGATGGGACCAGAAAAGACTGGAGCTTCGGAGCCAAGTGATGCCCCCTGGGAGATAAGCTCCTTCAAATGAGTCTCTTCTGCCCAAAGAAGGAGGGATGTATCCACTGGTCTCTTATGGAAGAGGAAGAAAGATGCACTTCAATATAAAACTCTCAGGCCCTGGCCAAAGTTCCATCTAGACAACTGTCTG